CCTATTCCCTAGGGTAAGTAGGTAGGTGAGTTTTGCAGCCAGACTACGAGCACCGCACTCTGTTGGCTATAAAGACTCAAGAGCACCACTTTTTCTTGGACTCCTGCAGCAGATGACTGTGTGGCATAAGTGACACCACCAGTCCTCAAGCCCCTGGTGCAGATCGGTAAAGGTGCCTGCTTATGGGGCAGGGTTGTGTCAAGGGTCTCAAATCTGCCACTTCACAGCAGAAACAGTTAAAGTTAGACTTCAGATATTTACCCTGTTATACTGTGGTATTGAGGGCTAACACTGTTGAGATCAGTCCCCACAAGTCTATACAGGGGTGTAAGGCACTCAAGGTCTGTGGACCCCTTATGCCTGTGTCTAGCAAAGGAGCTGTGCCAACCCTGAGTTCCTGGCTTAAGGGAGCCAGGAGCTTATTTGTTCCCTCTCCAAGACCAGGAGAATGGGTCAGGGCGCGTTTTGGGATCTACTTCCGGCCCAGTGGACTCAGACTTTGGACATCTGGACCGTGCAGAGTGGGGAGGGAGGAGGTAAAAGGGAGAGAGTTTTTTCCCAAATGGGTTTTTTTTTCCCCAGTCCCCATGAAAGGCCACACGCATGTACTTGTCTTTAGCCACTTGGGAGCTGCTTTTCACTGGTTCGGAGTGTCCAAGCAGAATCTCTGCTGCTGGATCTCTCTTAGTGTGGAAGCTGTGTCCTGAGTGCATGTGTGCAGCTCTTTGCCTGCTTCAGTGTGGATCTGGAGCTGCTGAAGTGCTGCAGTCCCACCACCACTGCTCTGGTGCTCCTTGCTTCTTCCGAACCTTCTCCCTCTCACCCCCCGACTCAGTCCAATTCCTCAACTTTGCCTTGTTCTGGGCTCCTAGATATTCATATACAATCAAATCACTTGCTTTTCCAGGTCTTTGTTGTAAGAGGGATGTAGGAAGCCATCTGACTGCTCCACTGTCTTGTCCCTGCCTCTCAGTTAGGTTTCTATAAGTTAGCAATCAGCAATCAGAAAAGGATATTAAGGAAACATTACCTTTTACTATAACATCTAAAAGAAAAAAGTACCTAGGAAGGAATAAATTTAATCCAACAGGTGAAAGACTTGTACACAGAAATGTATAAAATATTACTGAAAAAAATAAAAGAAGACATAAATAAATGGAATGCCATTCCACATTCATAGATTGAAAGGCTTAATGTAATTAAGATGTCAATACTACCCAAAACAATCTAGTAGTGCAACCCCCATCAAAATTCCAACAGCCTTCTTTGCAGAAATGGCAAAGCCAATCACCAAGTTTACATGGAACCTCAAGGGAACTCAAATATGTAAAGCAATCTTGAAGAAGAAGAATAAAGTAGGAAGACTCATGTGTACTGATTTGAAAGCCTACTACAAAGCTGTAGTAATTTAAACAGCCTGGTACTGGTGTAATAATAGACATACAGACCAATGGAATAGAATTGAAAGTCCAGAAATAAATCCATACGTCTATAGTCACCGATATTTGATAAGGGTGCTAAATTCATTCAATGGGGAAGGAAGAGTCTCTTCAGTAAATGATACAGAAAACTGAATTTCCACTTGCAGAAGAAGGAATCAGGATTCATGCCTCACACCATACACACACACACGCACACACACAAACACACACAGTACAAAATGGATCAGGGACCTAAATGTCAAAACTAAAACCATAAGTTTCTTAGAAGGAAGTGTAGGGACGAGGCTGTGGGACCTAGTTTTAATGACAGATTATCAGGTAGGCTAACAAAAGCCTGAATAGCAAAAAATAAAATAGATGGGTCCGCATAAAAATTAAATACTTTTGTGCATCAAAAGACTTTATGAACAAAGTGAAGAGAATCTACAATTTGGGAGAAAATTTTCAGGAACTATATATCAGATCCAAAACCAAAAACCAAACCCATTGCCGCTGAGTCGATTCCAACTCATAGCGATCATACAGAACAGAGCAGAACTGCCCCATAGGGTTTCCAAGGAGCTGCTGGTAGATTTGAACTGCTGACCTTTTGGTTAGCAGCTGTAGCTTGCTGTAGCTCTTAACCACTGTGCCGCCAGAGCTCCGTATATCAGATAAGGGCCTAATACTCAAAATATATGTAAAACTTCTTCAACTTAACAACAGAAGGACAAACCAAACAAAAAATGGGTAATGGATGTGAGCAGATAATTCACCAAAGAGGATATTAAAATGTCCAACAAGGACATGAAAAAATGCTCAACTTCATTAGTCATTGTTGTTAGGTGCCGTGGAGTCAGTTCCGACTCATAGCCACCCTATGTTCAACAGAACGAAACACACTGTCCAGTCCTGCGCCATCCTCACAGTCGTTATGCTTGACCCCATTGTTGCATCCAGTGTGTCAATCCATCTCATCAAGGATCTTCCGTTTTTTGCTGACCCTCTAGTTTAGGGAAATGCAAATAAAAACTACCATGAGATACCACTTTACCCCAACTAGGATGGCTAAGATTTAAAAAAATGGGAAAAAACAAATGTTGGTGAGAATGTGGAAAAATTGGAACCCTCATGCATTCCTGGTAGGAATGTAAAATGGTGAAGCCACAGTGGAGAACAGTTCAGTGGTGCCTCAAAAAGTTGAACACGGAATTACCATATGACTCGGGAACCCCAGTCCTAGGTATATACCCAGAAGAAGTGAAGGCAGGAGTGCAAACAAACCTGTACACCAGTGTTCATTGCAGCACTTTCCACAATAGCCAAAAGGTGGAAACAACCTAAATGTCCATCAACAGATGAATGGATAAACAAAATGTGGTACATGCATACAATGGAATATTATGCATCCATAAAGAGAAATGAAGTTCTGATGCATGCCACATCATGGATGAACCTTGAAAACATTATGTTGAGCAAATTCAGTCTGTTGCAAATGGACAAATACTGTATGATTTCACTTATATGAAATAAGCAAATATATAGAAACCAAAGATTATTGATGGTTACCGGGATGGGAGGGAGGGGAAAGGTGGAAGTTTTTGTTTGGGGGCGTGCATTAAGTTTTTGTTAATGATGGTGGAATATTTTGGATGAGGATAGTGATAATGGTGGTACAACATGAAAAATGTAATCAAAGTCATTAAGATGTAAATGTGGAAGTTGTGTTGGTGGATGTTCTGGTGTGTATGTTATCACCACAGTAAAAAGAAAGAGAGAGAGAAAAGAAAGAGACTTAAGGGTATGGCACCCTAAATGTCATTTCTCTAGATTCACAGAGCACTAATGTGCTTAACATTTTAGTAGGTCACCTTCACCTGATCCTATTGTTATCATTTTACTTAGAGGAGGATTATTTATTGAAGCTCCTCCTTTCAAAGGATAACTTTATTTGTGTTGTTAAATCTGTTTATGCTCACTAGAAGACCTGGCTAGAGAAACTGACTTAATTTAGTGATACTTTATTCATTTTTAAAAAGCTGAGCTGGAGATATCATCTCTATAGGAAAGGATATATGTTCCTACTGAAATGGTGGTGTATGTGTCCTTGGCTGAATTGGTTAATCCCAACTAGACTGTAAAGCCTTTGAGGGAGAGATTATGTCTTTCTGTTTATCTCTCTCTTTCTCTCTTTTTAACTTCTTTACTTCTTTAACTTTAACTTCTTTATATATATGTATATATAAAACTTTATTTTTTTGTTGTTGAGAATATACACATCAAAAACATACACCAGTTCAAGTTTCTACATATACATTTCAGTGATACATTGATTAGATTCTTTGAGTTGTGCAGCCATTCTCACCCTCCTTCCCTGAGTTGTTCTTCCACCATTGTAATAAACTCACTGCCCCCTAAGTTTCCTACCTAATATTTTGAGTTGATGTTGTCAGTTTGATCCTATATAGATAGATCTTAAAAGAGCATAATGCTCAAGGCAGACATTCTTTACTAGTTAAGCTAAACTATTGTTTGATTTTAAGAAAACTTCAGGGGATATTTTTGGTTTAAGGTTTAAAGATTATCTCAGGCAGTAGTTTCAGGAGTTCATCCAGCCTCAGTGGCTCCAGAAAGTTTAGATTCCATGAGAATTTAGAATTCTCTTCTGTATTTTCTCCCTTTTCATCAGGATTTTTCTACAGAATCTTTGATCAAAATGTTCAGTAATGGTATCCAGGCACTATCCAGTTCCTTTGGTCTCATGGCAGGGGAATCAGTTGTTCATGGAGGCAATTAGCCACACATTCCATTTCCTCCTATTCATGACTCTCCTTTTTCCTCTGTTGCTCCAGGTGAATAGACACCAACTGTTGTGCCTTGGATGGCTGCTTGCAAGCTTTTAAGACCCCAGGTGTTATACAGTGAAGTAGGAGGTAGAACAGAAACACTAAACATGTTATTAGGCCGATTGCTTGGGATGTTCTGTGAAACCATGACCCTGTACCTTCAGACCAAGGAACCAAATCCCGCCAGGTGTTTGGTTGTACATAAGCAGCCTCAGCAGCTAATCTTTTTTTTGTCATTGCTGTAAATATACCTATCACACCACTTTTGTCAGTTCAACTTTTTATAGGTGTACAGTTTATTGACAACAATCACATTGATTAAGGGTAGTGTTGCAAGCTGATTAATGTATTTATCTCTTTTGGTGGAGGTCTAATACAATGCTACCTATGCAGTAGGTGGTAAACTGATTCAATATTATTTTACCTTAGTTTTCTAATTTCTAAAGTGGAAATGATAGAGTACTTTAATGCTAAAGCTATTAAGAAAATAATTATATAAAATCTAAATAAGCCAGGAATATAACCATTACTATAAAATTCTTAGATAATATTTGGTGTGGGTGGTATAATGATGGGACATATCCCAAGATTATATGTTTGCTAAAGGAAATGCTATTTCATAATGATGACCTATGTTTGAGAAGGTGCCTGCCAAAGTGTAACTGCTAGTTGCTGTTGTGTTGCAGTTTAACCCTTATCTATGTGATTTTTTTTTTTGTATTTTCAATTATAGGCTAAAGTTCTACAGTTACTAGCCACCGCTTATTTAGACTGGGATGACAGAGAATATTATGACAAGGCTGTCAATGCTATAAACCTGGCAAACAAGGTATAAGAGATTTTTTCTTTCAAATATTAGTTTAATGGATTTTTATAAAGCTTTGACTCATATTTTGAAATCCAGTTTCAACGTTTGTTTCATTATCCCCGTTTATAGCAAAAGATTATTCATTTTTTTCCTGCAGCACAGGAAGGAAAAATAAAATATGCCTTTGATCATCAAGTATTTTTAATAAAATTTTCTTTTGTATAAAACAAAAAGGCTTCTCTCTGATCTGAGCTTTTAGGATAGAAAAGCAAATGATGATAAAATAGGCAGAGAACAAGATTCAGTTAAAAAAAAACTTCAGTGGCTTGCTCTAGGTTAACTTCTAGCTCACCTTATTCATACATACATACACCTACAGTCCTAGACAAGGAATACTGGTAAATCGGATTGATGACCCTTTAAAAAGTGATTCAGTTGGGATCAGTGTGTTTTAATTAATAAGGAAATTAAATATGCTGATACATTTTAGAAAGAACTTTTTAAAGAAGATTGGAAATAGTTGTTCTACATGAATAATTTAATTAACTAGAATATTAAATTCTTCCCAAAGACCATTTACTTGAATTATTTTTTTCTGGAATTTATGTCATGTGGACTGGGTTATTTAATGCTGAAAAAAATTGTTTAACACTAAAATGTTTAAACATTTAAAAATATAAATAGACATTAACATTTTCAAAAGTTGCTTTCTTTTTCTTTTTTTTGTGTTTGCTAAGATGCAAGACACCTCAGGAAGTAGCATACTATTATATGGCTTCTTGACAGCATGTCTCTTTGTTCACTGGATACAGAAATTGTAATTTTTATAGCAATAATTTCTCACGGGCATTGTGCATGACATATCATAATTAGTAGCCTAATGAGTGATCCCGGACATAGCTGAAGTGGGTGCATTAGAATTTCAATGCAATATATATTTTAAAATGTTCTTGAAATAATTTCAAACATAAAGAAACATCTCAAGAATAAGAATAGTTTAAAGAACACCTACTTGTACACACTTTACCTAGATTCACCTACTGTTAAAATTTTGTGCATGCATGCTCTCTCTCTGTCTCACAGACACATTCTCCATATAACAATACATACCAAATAATTAACTTTAAAATATTTTTTCTCCCTGATATACGATTAGTCTAGGATCACATATTGCATTTAGTCATCATGTCTCTTTAGTCTCCTGTACTCTGGAGCATTTCCACAGCCTTCCTTGGCTGTTGTGTCATTGACATTTTGGAAGAATACATACTCTCCCTACCCCTGCCACCTTGTTTTAACAGAAATTTGTGGTGTATCTGATATTTCCTAATGATAAGATTCAGATTATGCATGCATTGCTGACTGGAATACTACACAATTGATTTTGTGTCCCTTCTAAGAGCATCATATTTAGAGGCACATGATGTTTATTTGCTCCTTGTCGGTGATATAATTGTTGATCATCTGGTAAGGATGTCTGACTTCTTCACTTTATATTTACTATTTTTTCCCTTGAAGCTAATAACCAATGGTGGGGAGATATTAAAATCATGCATATATTCTGCTTCTCATTAGAGTTAGCATTTAGAGTTAGCATTCAGTGGTGATTCTTGCCCGAACCAGTCTTTATTAGGATGATTGCTAAAGGATCATTTTCTACCTTCAGCACTCCTTCCACATTTACCAGTTGCAATTTAACATTCTACTATAAGCACAAGCCCTCCCTTCTCCCATTTATTATCTATTTATTATCAGTATGGACTTGTATATTCCTATTTTCTTGCTGATTTATAATTCATTGCTGTCCTTAATTATCTTTTAACAGCTTTACTAAGGTATGATTGACATAGAATAGACTGCAATTAAAAAATTTTTAAGGTATAAAATTCGATGAGTTTTGTTATGTGTATACACGAGTGCGAGGAGCCTTGGTGGTTGCACAGTGGTTAAGCGCTTGGGTGATAACCAAATGACGATTCGAACCCACAAGCCTCTCCACTAGAGAAAGAGGTGGCAGGCTGTAAAAATTTACAGCCTTGGAAACCCTATGGGGCAGTTCTACCCTGTCCTACAGTGTCACTTTGAGTCGGAATTGACTCAATGGCAACGGATTTGGTTTTGGTATACACTAGTACAACAGTCACCACAATTAAGATAGTGAATATGTACATCACTTCCAAAAGTTGCTTAGCGCTCTTCTGTCACTTCTCCCTCCCACCCTTTCCCCAAGTAACCATTGATCTGCTTTCTGTCACCATAGATTAGTTTGCATTTTCTATAGTTTGATACAAAATGGAATCATAAAGTGTGCTGTCCACTGCACTACGAAAGGACAATGTGGGCAAACCCCACCTTTGTCATTGTGTGGCAAGGATCAATATGAATCCAATTCCCACCTGTAAGGGGATCCAGGCTTCACCTCCTCACTGCTCCACGCCTTGTCACCAGCCACTTCTGTAGCACTTCTTCTCTTTGACCCGAATCACCGAGAGTAAGGTCAGATTTCATCCCTGGCCACCCTGAGCCTGGTCAAAACATCCCTGGCCACCTGGGGTCAGGTCATTGGGTATCAGCCATAGGCCCAGCAGTCCACACACCTCCCTGCACTTCAGCCAGCACTGCCCCCCGCCCACTAGCTAGACCCCTGGGGCTAAGACACAAGCTAGAAGGACTCTCTCCTTCTTCATCAACTGCCCATGCAGTCTTTCTTGGTTACTCACCCAGAGATGGGTCTGAATCTCATTACTCCTTGTGAGTTCTTTAATTCTCTAGAACGGCTAAGAAAATTCACAGAGACTATTACCTATATATACCATTTATTATTACCAGGCAAGTTCTGGGAGAGGTCTTGGCATGAGGCTTCCACTGTCCCCAGGGATGTGCCATCCAGAGGTATAACTAGGGTATAGCAGATATGGTAGGTATTGCAGTGGCCCTGGATTCATGGTGCCACTGGGCAGTTTCTATTAACCCAGTACAGCCAGTGGTGTATCTATGAAAAATGACATCTATGGCAAGCACTGAAATTATACCCCTGTTCAAATATCTGATATCCCTCTTTTAGATAACTTTACCATAATATCAGCTCAAAAATACAAGTCAAGCTCGTTAATCTTTTAATTAACACATTACTTTGCTTGAGGAAGGATGTTGGGCCTTAATGGGTTAATAGAAACTGCTCATTGGTGCCAAGTGCCCAGGGCTGGTGCAATACCCTAGATATGCCATTGGTGCCACCCTGTCCCATGCATGGCTTTTCTCACCAATTCTGGAATCCCCAAAAGAGGAAGGTCCAGGGCCGCTTATAAAAGTCACTGGGGCCTCATTACATATGCCTGAACCAGTAGATATGCATGATTGTATCATGCCCCCCACCCTTCCTGATGTTACTTGCTAGGTGATGAGTTGGGGGCTCCCAACTCATTTACACATGTTTAAATGTTGCCTGGCTGTTTTAGAAAAGAAAGACACGTTTGATTGCTTGAGAAATTCCAAAGACTATTTTCCAGAAAAAGGAGCCCTGGTGGTGCAACTGTTAAATGCTCGGCTACTAACTGAAAGTTTGGCGGTTTGAACTCACCCAGTGGCTCCACGGGAGAAAAGACTTTGCGACCTGCTCTCATAAAGATTACAGCCTAGAAAACCCTATGGGGTATATCTACTCTGTCACACTGGGTCTCTATGAGTCGAAAATTGACTCGATGACAACAACAACATTATTCAGAAACCAGAGACAAAGGCCAAACTGAGTTCTTTTGTCCCACACAGTTCATGTACTTTTAAAAACATATTTGACTTCCTCCCCTCAGCGTAATTATTTTGAGATTCATTCATTTTGTTATGTGTATGCACAGCTTAGTTTTTTATTGCTGAGCTGAGTAGTATCCCATTGTATAGATATACGACCAAAAAAAAAAACCCACTGCCATCGAGTCAATTCCGACTCATAGCAACCCTATAGGACAGAGTAGACCTGTCCCATAGGATTTCCAAGCCTATAAATCTTTATAGAAGCAGACTGCCACATTGTTCTCCCGTGGAGTGGCTGGTGGGTTCAAACTGCTGCCTTTTTGATTAGCAGCTGAGTGCTTTAACCACTGCACCACCAGGGCTCCTAGATACACCACATTTGCTCTTAAATCTACTCCAGCTTTCTTTTGACTAGTGTTAGCATGGTATAGCTTGTTCCATCCTTTTACCTATTCATGTTTTTATGTTTAAAGTGCATTTCTTGTAGGCTGCATATACTTGGGTCTTGATTTTTTTATCCAGTCTGAAAATCTGTGCCTTTTAATTGGAGTGTTTAGAATATTAATGTTTAATGTGATTATTAATAAACTTAGGCTTGAGTTTATTATCTTGCTATTTATATTAGATATGTCCCACTTATTCTTTATTCCTCCCTTTCTCTTTTTCTGCTTTCTTTTGGATTAAGTATTTTTTAAGATTCCACTTTATTTCATTTGTTGGCTTATTAGTTAAAACTGTTTGTTTTGTTATTTTAGTAGTTTCGTTAGGGTTTCTTTAATTTATCATAGTCTACCTTCAAGTGATGGTATACTACTTCATATTTATTATAATAACATTACAATCGTATACTTTCATTTCTCCCAGCCTGCTTTTTATGCTATTGTTGTCATAGATTTTACTTTTTTTAAATTTTTTCCCATACAAAAATTTATACATACATTCTTATGTGACCCTAATTGCTCTCCCCATACTGTGACAGCACAGTCTTCCTTTCCACCCCTGATTCCCCATGTCCATTCAACCAGCTCTAAACCCTCTCTGCCTTCCCATCTCACCTCCGGACAGAAGCTGCCCCTTTAGTCTCTTGTATCTACTTGAACTAAGAGGCACACTCCTCACGAGTATCACTTTATGTCCCACAGTCCAGTCCAACCCGTCTGAAGAGTTTGGCCTCAGAAATTGTTTTAGTTCTGGGCTAACAGAGAATCCAGGGGCCATGCTTTCTGGGGTTCCTCAAGTCTCAGTCAGACCATCTGGGACTCTCTGTTGTG